GACGACCTTGAGGGAACACTTTACTTGCGTCAGACAGCAAGAAGAATGCTGGTCGTCGATTATTTCTTCTTGGCTTTGTTTGGTTTCTTCGAGTTCCAGTGAGAGTACTCGTCGTTTTCCTGGACAACAAGCCGCACAACAAGCCATCTCCAATTTTCGATAGGCCGATTCTCGCTCAAATGACCGCTGCGTTACAATGCACGGGAAACATCCCACTTTCACGTCTGCGACCTCACGTCAAAAACGTCTGCACATGCGTACTGATTGCGAAGCTCATATTTAAACTTCCGGTTGACGTCCGTGAATCAATGCTGTCACGACCGTGTACCTCATCTGATATTAAAAGGAAGTGGAATGTGGGAAGTTGTCAATGGGAACCAATGATGATTGCTGAAAGCTGCCCGCGCAAATATTCCTTTTTAAAATGTTTTCATGGCTCTAATTTATTTGGAATTTGATATAAGCCGACTAGTGTTCATCAGGAGGGCCTTGAAATCAGGTCCACTTTCCCAATGAAAGAAATTAATGAATTGCAAGAGTTTCCTAGGGAACCGGTTTTACATAATAGCACTGTGAAAGTACTGTACTGCAGAAAAGAAAAAAAATGCAAACCTGGGCTCTGTAATTTCTCTTGGTTTTCTTGCGCTGCTTAACTGAGAAATTGGCAGTGAAAATCTCCCCAAACTTTTTTTTCGAGTATAAAAATTCTGGAATTTTCCAGCAGCAGACTCTCTTGATATATTGCACTTCTTTTCTCTTAGGAAAAAAAAAAAAGGCTTGAGGCCCCCACTGGCTAAGGCATGAATTATTAGTCTAGGCTGTTCGCTTCGCATTGGGCCATAAAAAAATTTTTTTTCGGGCAGTTTATTTTTCTCCTGAAGGCCCGAACCGTTAATTCTCTGGCATTGTTATTACTTTTATTATTATTATCATTGCTTTTGAGTAAAATATTTTATATCTTGAGTCCTTGTTTAATAGCTGCTGAATCCCTGATGACTCGGACCTTTTCGGCGTGAAGATCATAAAACAACGGTAAAAAACTTACCGCTCGCGCATGTTTTAATCACTACTTCTTCAAACTTATCAAAAGCTGTGAAAATTAACATAATTTATTGTTTCGTCAGATTCTTATTGAACCCTTTTCCTTATTTAGAACTTGGATCCAAGCGCGAAAATAGCAGTTCGTGATTGGTTGTTTTTCCAAAGCTGGTCTCTGATTGGCTTATGTACTTTCAAATTGAGTGGCAAATTTTTGGCGCTCTGCAGTAGTCGTTTGTGAGCGCGTCACATAATTTTGAAGTTTCGAGATGGTAAGTCGTGGACGGATTGAATCCGTTTCCATCCGCGTTTGGCGAATAACTTTCTGTCCAATTTTTGTGCCAAAATGTGCATTATTTCATGAAGTTTTATTAGAAAGTAGATTTATACTGATACTGTCGCTTGCGAGTCATATTTTTCGGTGCAAATCTATTTCTATTTGGCTTTTAGGCTGGAGGAAAAGCAGGTAAAGATTCCAAGGCAAAGGCTAAGGCAGTTTCTCGTTCAGCAAGGGCCGGACTTCAGGTAAGTTGTCGTTTTAAAGAGGGAGAGCAATGTAGCAATTCTCTCCACTAGTTTTGTTCTGTCTCCTGGTTATTTAACCCACTGCATGATATTTAGTCATTCAAATACTACTAAACGTTCCAAATATCACTGAATGTTGAAATGGATATAAATGTAATGAATAATTTGACTTATTTTATTTACATNTGCTGCAAGTTTTTCACTGGAACCTCACGTGTGTTCTCAATGCGCGTACCTCACACTCTTCGTTTTGCACAGTTCCCAGTGGGTCGTATTCACAGACATTTGAAGAACCGAACGACCAGTCATGGACGTGTTGGAGCGACAGCCGCTGTTTATAGCGCCGCTATTCTGGAGTATTTAACGGCTGAGGTGAGTTAACACATTAGCTCTACTGTTAAGAAAAAGTATTGGCCCACTTGAGGGTCAACAGCCCTTCCAGTTCTCGGAAACTTAAGGCAGCGTTTCATTTGGGCGGTTGTGTGTTTGTGAATATTGGTTGTAAGGCACATTCCTCCCCATTCTAAAACTGCTCGATTTCTTCTTCTTTTACCACACTCCTCGATGTAGTCCGGCCAATTTCAATCCAATTTTAGTGCTTTGCGAAAGAGTCTGAAGGTTTGAATGAGGAAAGCAGTCGAATGAATTTGTTGTTACGCTAGTAACGACAGTTCCCGCCATATTTGAATTATACAATGAATGAAAATATAGCTCGATCAAAAGATTTCAAGCGTAGTTCCACGCTTCTTTTCGCTTTCAAGTGCTACGAAGTAACAAATGCTTCGAACTGTTCAAACCAATGATTAAATTTTGGGCAAAAGAAGAAAATTTCTTTGTTAATTTTGCATTTGCTGCCTTCGTGATTTTTTTTTTGCATGACAAAGCAATATTTTGAAAAGAATCTCCGATTTTATATCAAATCAAGTTTTACTTGGTTCTGATTCTGCCAATCGTTTATTAGGTGCTAGAGTTGGCTGGAAATGCCTCTAAGGATTTAAAAGTGAAACGTATCACTCCTCGTCATCTTCAACTTGCCATTCGCGGAGACGAAGAACTCGACTCTCTAATCAAAGCGACCATCGCCGGTGGAGGTAACCTGAGTTGTTTTAATCATGCTGTGTATAAATTACCTCTATGGACAGTAACCACATGTTTTAGTTAGCAAACATCGCCTAGTTGCTTTCCCTTCATTTACTAAAGCATTGTTACTACGTATACAACAGTAAACAATAAATCGAATTCATCAAATTTGCTGGTTGGGTTAGCAACTCGATATCTTCCCTTGCACTTTCATTTTCTGCGTTTCATACTGCAAGTGAATGTGCACAAATCTCCTTGAGACATTACAACCACAATTTGCATTGGATGTTAAGAAAAAGGGCTGCCCAAAAATGAACTAAAGGATCTCGCTTAAAAGTGAAAAGTGTTCATAGCAGGCTGTTTGTCTACGATAAGAACTGTATTTCTGGGAGAAGTTGAAAGTGGGTTACCATGTATGAATAGTGTAAGGTATAGAAAAGTAACTTTTTGCAAACTTTTATTCTCAGTCTTGCAGATCAGGAAATGACAGTGTATGCTATGCTTTCAACTTTTTTTTTTGCTTCATCATAAATCAGTATTAAAGATTGTTTCTTTTTCTCTGCAGGTGTAATTCCTCACATCCACAAGAGTTTAATTGGCAAGAAGGGTGCTAACAAACCAACATAAGTTTAATTTTTCAGTCTCTTTTTACTACATATTCTCTGTACAGTTTCATTGGGACCATAACATTGCCTATACACTTCATTGAAAAGTAAAGCTCTGTCTACAGCTCAGCTGTTGATCATTAAAGGATGTTACGCTTTCTTTGTATTTATATGCTCAATGTACAATTGTGTAATCGTGATTTTGAATAAATCACTCTTCACTTTTTAACCAGTTGCACGCTTCAAGTTCAACCTGTAGTTTTTTTGTTTGATTTGTATTTTTTTTTCTGTGTGACTTAAAATGTTGTTGAAGCTGGTTCTTATACTAAGTATGAGATTTGTCAGTATGAGTTGTATTACCAGCCTCTTTCTACAAATACTCCAGTCTTTTTACATGAATAAAGTTGAATTTCTTGGATTTTGATTCTTCGATTTCACTTTACTGAACTTTATCAACAAATGTAGATGTTGAACTGTAATTCTTGTGTTTTGATAGCACATCCCATCTTATGGTATGACACTTGAAACCACCTTCAGTTGTGGGGCTTTTTTGATATTCAGTAGAAAATTGCTTAACTGCTAGTAACTGGTGAGCAGAACCCAGACTTTCCACTCATTCTGGATGTCAGGTTTTCATGTTTGCAATTCTTACTAATTGAGACTATTTTATTTGAGGTTTTTGACCTAATGAAGTCTTGTTGCCCTAGCAAGTGTTCCCTCTTCAGTTAGTCTCTTTGTATAGAACTTTAATTCCTTCAGGAGTGAGCTACACTTGCTGTTCTTTAATAGCATCAGCAGCTTACATTTTTACTGGCTAGTTCGCTTGTGAAAAGAATTCAAAATTATAAGATTATTTGTGTTGATCTGGAGTTAATTTTAATTTGAGATTTTCATATAACAATAAAATAATTTAGCAATGGACATTCGACTGTTTTCAGATTGAATTGGAATTTGGAATGTTGCTTTTTGCAAAAGGAGGAAAACTGGAGGATCCAGAGAAAAACCCTTGGAGCAAGGATGAGAATGAACCATGTGTGATGCCAGGTCTGGGAATCAAACCCAGGCCATGGTGGTGGGAGATGGGTGCTCTCACAACAGTGCCACTGCTGTTCCCCCAAATATAGACCCCAAAACTACAAATAATACTGAAAATAAAGCTAGTAAATGCAAGGGGACAAGATAATCCCTTTTAGCATGTGCCTACTGTTTTAAGGGTTGGGTTCTTGAAGCTGGCCAGTTTACACTCTTCCTTTTGTATATGCTTTACCCTTTTCCCCTGTGAGTGAGTAACATCTAATCTCCTTAGCATATCAGCCCTGAATCACATGAGTCCCAAGAATTAAGGAAATGATCACCAACTTGAGAAACTTGATTGTTAAACAAATTCTCCTTGTCAACACCTTGGAAATGTAAGGAGAATATGCATACTAGTGTCAGGGTGGTAAAGGGTTAAGTCAATCTTTCATGGAAGACAGGCTACTCTTAAATTAATTTTTTGTTACTACTGTTTAGAAATCATGGGTTATACTTTCAATTCTAATCTATTCACAAGTCTTGCCATTTATTTCTCCAAGCTAAGTGAGAAAGCAATGCTAAAATGAAACCACTTTTAAGACAAAGGCTTGTTCAACAAATCAAGTTGCAGGAAAATGCAAGACGAAAGCAGTTGTGTGGTGAATTTTGTCTCTAAAACTAAGCAACTAAATTCAGTACATGCAGTTGAGTGATTTAATTTGCAATTTCAAAGTGGATGTAAGAAAGTGGTAAAACTGAACTTATTATTTTGAAAATTTGGTGTGAAATCGTACCTCTGATTTCAAATCCTTGATGACCTCTATTATACAACAAAGTTTACACTCGGCAGGGCAGAGAGAGCTTAGAGCATACAGCCAAAAGAATGAAAATGGTGTATGCCATTATGGGAGAGGGGGAGAGAGGTCTTGAGGAGGAGGCAGGGAAATATGGAGATTTCGTATAATTTCAGAGCTGAGCAAAGAGTTTCTAACAATCTGATTGGTCGAGCGGTTCCCTATGTGATGCTATATAAAACGCTCCGCGCGGTTTATATAAAATGTTAAACTAAAATATTAACAAATTTTACTAAAATGTTATGATTTTAGAAATTCCTCTGTTGCTCAGGTTTGAAATTATACTAAAACAATTATCCGCCTTAGGTTCGGTGAATATTGTTGAATAATCCCCTCGACTTCATCTCGGGGATTATTCGACGATATTCACCTCGCCTTCGGCGAATAATTGTTAAATAATGTATGTTGTTACTCATTTGGAATAGTGTCCCCATTCAAAGTGTACTTTAAAGCCTGTATTATTTTCTGTCATGTTTATTATCAATTTCTAACCAAAGAAATGTATTCTTTGTTAGATATTCATCGAAAAAAAATTAAGAGAAAAAAAAAAACAAACAGATTAACTAACGAAACAAAGGCGAAATGTAATATTGCAGAATGGTCCTTAGGAAATGGCGAACACTGAACTCCCTTTCTCCCCTGCCTCGCGCCAGCCCCCAACACCTCCCCTCCCCCCTCGTCCGTATTGAAGCCCAGCTGCTCTTTAGGATGTTTACAGTACTTAGAAGATTCTCGACCACGCGATGACTTTAGTCTCTTCCGAGTTCTCTGTCGGTAAAGACTAGTGAAGGAGCTGGAGATCGACCGACTTCAGTTGTTGGTTGTCAGGGAAATAACTGACAACTGCCGTTATCAGGGCACTCTCGTTTTCACTCACAAGGCTATGACGACCTCGATCTATTCTGAGGACGCTCGCTAGAGAACAGGTGAAGCGTCTTTTGACAAGAAGTACAGACAAACTGTTTGCAGAGGTCAAAGTTTATCCATTTCCTCAGGATGATTTTCTTCCGGCGTCTCTTTTCGTGTGATGCGCCCGGTAGAATTGAGTGTTGAAACGGGGGCTGGAACAGCTTTTCATTCTCCAGGCAGCAGCTGGAACTATTACAACCATTAAATTTGTTTAACACGAATCACAATTAAAGCTGTTGACTCTTTATTTCAGATTGTTTTTATTTTACAATAAGTAAGTACAGTCTTAGCTGATGCGATTGTGTAACAATACTCTTCTCAATTCCCCTGCCTTGACGCCTCAGAGGGCTCGCGGCAACCCGTTGACTTCGACAATATGACACTTTGGTGCATTCAGCCTGGATTTTCTGAATTAGTCCAAAAATTTCTATGAAGATCTAGTAAATTTATATTTTCGAGGGTAATTTTCAGGTTCCAGTCAATATTATTTTCGCATGGTGATTTAAATTTTTGATGAGCTTCAATCGGAAGGCAGATTTATTTAATACCCGTCAGCTTTGAGATCTCTGCAAAGAAACAAAGCTTTGGCCTTCATATTTTCCTTCAGGTCTGTCATTTGTATTTTTTTTTATTACACTTTAAGCACTTTGTGACCTTGTCCGTATAATAACAAAAACTCCACTTCGTAAATGTTTCTGAACATATTTTATATGTTTTTCTTGAATTCCAATAAAAAAAATACAGGAACTATAGAAGGTGAAATTATCGATTATTGTCCTTTATTATTCACCACAAATGAATCGAGCATTTATTTGAATTTTTCAATTTGAAGAAAAAACTAATTCCTGCAGCGAATGTTTACAAAGTGGGTAAATATTCATCTTGCAACAACACAGTTGCTAAGCATTTGTAATTGGTTTACACATCAGGAGTTTACTCCAGGAGAATTGATTTTTAGATCAATAAGCTTCCGTTCTAAACAGGATCTTGTATTCCCTTGAAAATGTTTTGTAAGTTATTTTACTCATATAGCAGTAAGAGAAAGAAATAAAAATTATCTGGAATGATCCAAAAAAGTCTTCTCTGCGCTTCATTCGCAATTTGTTGGTTGAAAATTCTTATTTAATTGGTTTCTTAGTTGAAATTCTCTCTACATAGTTATCGTATTTTGTTGAACTGATACTCGACACCATCAGTCTGATTCTTGTAGTTATGCGAAGAACGCAGCTGCAAACATTAATGGCTCGTCAGAGAATTAAATGGAATATTCCTGCGCTGGATCGCCATGGCTAAAACGTGTACCTCAGCAGAACTATCCGTAAACTGCAACATGGACTGTTTGGTTGCCAAAAAAGATAGAAAATGGTGGTATTTTATCGCAACAAGCGGTGCAATCTTCCTCGGTGGATTGTTGGTCATACTAGCTTCAAGGCTATTTATTAAAATATGTAACTCAAAACAGAGCAAATTAAACCCGACTAAAAAAGATGCCAATAAACAGCGGATTAACCGATCGCTCGTCGTGCCGGAAATGCAGAAACGAGGGATTTACGTCAAACTCAAAGAACAGGCCGGTACACTTATAACAGCACAAACCTTCAAGGGCCGATGTTTGGTAGGTGTTATTTTTTGGGGTGATATTAACTGAGTCAGGAAGTACAGTAGACAAATAAAGCCTGCTTGTTAAATAACAGGAAACAAGGAGTTTCACACTTTTATCGAGAAAAATAATTGATATTTTTTTCGTCTTGGAACGGTCCCTGTTGTTGTTCTTTGATCTTCGAAGCGTGGCACAGTTCTTTGTTTCAAAATAAGGTATGAAATTGACACGCTCAATATTTACATACGCTATTCAGAAGTGACTCCGATTGTTTTAAACTTGATGCCCGAAGCGATTCCCTTACATTATTGTTTGCCTGGTGACCAACATGATCTACATCAGCCAAATTGCCCTGCACGGTGAATATTTATATCGTGATAATTTTGCTCCTGTCTGATATTATATGTTAACCGCTAATATTCTCAACTAGACGTGCAGTTAATTACAAGTGTCCAGAATCAATTGGTACCACAAGAAACTCCTTACGCTGGCTTAGAACCCAGTTGTTGAAAAAATTATGACCTCAAAAGATGACATGTAAATAAATATTCGATGTCTCAACTTCGACCAGCTATATCGCGTAATTGCTTCTCAAATTATTAGACATAGCGCGCGACTTTCAAGTGTATTCTTATGCTTTCGATAGATAAAAACATGGTAAAGTTAGAATTCTGTGATCGATTATTAGATAAATTTATGAACCCAAAAGAGATTATAAACAATTTAGAAAAAATCTCAGCTGTAGGTTGATTTCACCAGTGTCGTTCACAATGAGGCGAACAACATTCTGATCAGTCCCTTTCTTTTCGTTCGTGTTTGGTCTCTAGCCTGATGAATGTTTTAAATTTTTTATTTGTCCATCACCCCTTACCTAGATTTTCTATCTTGTCTCTCGGAAAAATGAATAATGCGTTGTTTGTCCGGTTTTTTCCCTTATTCATTATAATTTCCTTTTTTCCTGCTCTGGCGACCACACAATCGTTTTAAGGCTCTGCTGGCCTCATCATAGTTATTGTTAGTCACCAAGCTAAGTGGTTAAAACAATAAGTGGGAATGGACGCCCAAGGTCTTTTTTTTTCTTTTTTTCACAAAATGTGCTATATACGAACGATATAAAATCCCGACGTTTCAGCGACTTCATGATGCCAGTATCAAGGGTACAAATGAAAATAAAATTAACAAATGCGAGTTCAAGAGTTACAACTAATTTGCATAGGGGAGGTAGCTACACAAATACTTTAGCAGGGATAGAATCCGTTTGCACGTTCAAACTGGGTGTTAATTGTTTGATGTAAAGCATCTCGTTGACAAGACAATCGAATTTGTTCATGCGCTTCTTGAGAACTTTGAAACAGCTAAGAAGGTCCTCAGGGACAGCACCTGCGTGGTCGTTGTCGTAGTGCTTGCATACTGAAGATGATGTGCTCTTATGGCTATCCACGCGGGTATATAAATGCCCACGTGTGTAACCAACATAGCTCCCTGTATTGCACAGGTTAAATTTAAATTGGTACACTACGCACTGTTGATTAACCAGCTGTGGTTTGGTTTCACATTCTTTAAGGTCTTGGCCAATTTTCCGACTGATAAATACGGGCTGGATTGTGGTTTGGAGCTTAAGACCTTAGCATTAAACTCCAAACCACAATCCAGCCCGTATTTGTCAGTTGGAAAATTGGCCAAGACCTTAAAGAATGTGAAACCAAACCACAGCTGGTTAATCAACAGTGCGTAGTGTACCAATTTAAATTTAACCTGTGTGATACAGGGAGCTATGTTGGTTACACACGTGGGCATTTATATGCCCGCGTGGATAGCCATAAGAGCACGTCATCTTCAGTATGCAAGCACTGCGACAACGACCACGCAGGTGCTGTCCCTGAGGACCTTCTTAGCTGTTTCAAAGTTCTCAAGAAGCGCATGAACAAATTCGATTGTCTTGTCAATGAGATGCTTTACATCAAACAATTAACTCCGAGTTTGAACGTGCAAACGGATTCTATCCCTGCTTAAGTATTTGTGTAGCTACCTCCCCTATGCAAATTAGTTGTAACTCTTGAACTCGCATTTGTTAATTTTATTTTCATTTGTACCGTCGCCGAAACGTCGGGATTTTATATTGTTCATTTTTACCTGTCTATATATTACTAAATCTTTGTTACTGTGCTATATTCATGAATATTTAGTTTTCCTGCATTAATCAAGCCAACAGCCCATCCATTTATTTTTTTTCCCCCAAAATTCCACGATAGTCATTTTTTGTTAAATTACTGTAATGTGATCTCTAAGTGATACTCTATGCCTTTGTAGTATTTTTCCTCCATTTCAAGGGAGCTGGGAGGAAAGAAACAGAGAAGGGCACTATTTACATTTTCATTAACCTAATTAATCACCTTTCAAGTTATATTAAGGTACAATTTTCCAAAAGCAAAACAATACAAATATTTGAGTGGAAAAAGGAATCACACTTTAAACAAGGGTTAATAGAAAGTGCAGGGCCAAAGTAAAGCAGTAATTAATACTGAGAAAAGTAGTATAAGAAAAGTGCGCTTTTACATAGTTTTCTATTAAACTAATCCCTCTTACAGATATCGATATGGAATCTCCTAATATTTATTCTGTAAGGATTATGATTCAGGTGCTACAAAGATGCATTTCAAGAAAATATCTTTGTAGCTTTTAAGGTAGTTCTGAGCCTCATTGCCAGAGATAATTATGAATTAACTGACAGATGTCCCTAACTATCAGGTTTAAAGCAGAATGTTAATCCTCTTAGCCCAGCTAGTACTATGTTTTTGACAACTTGCATATTTCTTTGTACTTGCAAAGTGACTTCAAGTTCTAGAACTCCACACATTCTAACTCTCCTGGGTTACTTATGCAGGAGCTTTGTGGATATAAAAGGAGTCTCCCAGTCTTCCATATGGTTCACCAAATCTCTCAGATAAATGCAATGGACCAGCAGCTTTCAAAGGCTTTGTTTCATTGTAGGTGAACATCATATCCCCAGATTTACTCCCATCAAAATAGCCTTGATTTTACAAACTTTTCTTGCCATTTTTTTATAGCATTTTTATGCAACCACATCCTAACAGAAACTAAACAAAAGCTTTCCTTGGTTTTTGGGATGGGAGATTGATTTGACTGAAGGACCCAGGGGCATCAACTTTTTTGTTGGGGGAAGGACCCAGGGGCATCAACTTTTTTGTTGGGGGAAGGACCCACGGGCATCAACTTTTTTGTTGGGGGAAGGTTACTCATGAGTTGATGCCATAGTGGCAGATGAGAAAATTCTCCACTGAGATTTCAGATCTCCACAGGGGATTAATTTTACTATGGGTAGTGTCGGCCGACATGGCGACCGACATGTCGACCAACATTTCGGTCGACAGTTGTTTGATAGTCGGTTGACAGGTGGGTCGATAGTCGGTCGATAGTTGGTTGATAGTCGGCTGATAGTCGGCCGATAGTCGGTGGATAGTCGGTCGATAGTCGGTCGATAGTCGGTCGATAGTCGGTCGATAGTCGGTCGATAGTCGGTCGATAGTCGGTCGATAGTCGGTCGATAGTCGGTCGATAGTCAGAAGATAGTCGGTCGACATGTCGGCTGATACGTCGACCGACTGTCAACTGACAGATGGAGTGTCGCGTCTCGGTGGAATATCCGTCAAGTGTCAGTGGTCTATCGGCCGAGTGTTGGTAGTCTATCGGTCAAGTGTCTGAACTTTATCGGTAAATGTAGTTTGAACGTCGCTCTTGTGGTTGTGTATTGTTGCGGTGTCGGTATTGAAAAATTTGATATGAAGGCATAAACTTTCAGGTATATGATTAAGTGTCAGTGAAGAATCGCTGAAGCATTGGCCAAGTGTTGACTGAGTGTCAGCCAAGTGTTGGTCAAATATCAACCGACTGTCTACTGATATGTTGACCAACTATCAGCCGACATATATCGGTCGACATATCGACCGACATGTCGACCGACTATTTTCTGACTGTCGACCGACTATCGACCAACTATTGACCGGCTGTCGACCGACACGTCGGTCGCCATGTTGGCCAACACTACTTATAGTAACATTGATCCTCGACAGGTTGACATCTCTAGAACCCATGCTATTCGAAACTATCGTAGAGTGGTAGAAACTGCAGAGCTCTTATTGAAAAACTGAACCAAATAAACTGATCTAGCATATTTGTATATGTAGGATTTTCCAGTAGAAATAATAAGCTATTACAAAAATCAATTGACCTTGAATTAACCCTTAAATTATAAAACTCCCATGAGTGACCAGGACAAAATTTCTCCTTACAATATCAGTATAACATCAAGTAGACAGGTGATGAGAATAAAGAAAAATATCATTGAGAGGATTATCAGTTTATGTAATTCCAAATTCTCAGAACTAATATCAGATTAGAATTATATGGCAGACAGGTTTAAGTTAAAACTTTTCATCTGTGTCACATGAAAATGCACTTGTTTTCAGCCAATCAGATGTGCCATTACTAGGAGAGTAAAGGTGTTTTTAGTGGGGCGGATCCAAGGGTGGTTTGGGTTGTTCGGTTGCACCCCCCCAAATTTTCCCTCAAAATGCTGAAAATCATGTTTCCTAAGACCTAATTCTCAAATCTTCCAGGGAGCATGCCCTCAAACATTTCTCCGAACGTACCCCCTTTGACTAAATCCTGGATCCACCCCAGTTTTAGTCGTTATTCCAAAGCTCTCATCAGTTATTTCAGTGAACAGTTGTTTTTTCTGGGGATGGGCTAGAAAAAGGCGACAAGGGGAACGAGGTTGAATTTTGCTTTCTCCTACCCAACCCTCTCCTACCTTTTGCCTCCCGCCGTCTACCTCTCCCCAACTCTCCTCTGCTTTGAGAATCCAAAATGGCGGCTATGCTTGACGCATTGAAGCATTGGGCATTCGCCCGCCGAAAATGCGCTCGAATGACAAGGGGACTCATTTCCCTGTTTTAAAGATGGAATATTTTCCTTTCCCGGCGGTTCATAGGCTCCTGTTCATAGGCCCCTGTTCAATTTATATGTAGTTCTGTTGTCGAGTCCACATGCTGATTCTAGCTGTAGCTTATCGCACCAACACTGTTGCTAGCGCTGCGACTAGATACAACACTTGCTGGCATGTGATGGTCACAGTTTCAGTTGGGGAATTTGGTTCAATCAAGGAACGATTTCAATGCAGTTTCAGGTAAAATAGTCTGGAAATATAGAATTGGGTGTTTATCAAAAAAGTAAGATTATTTTTTGAGACTACGAATAACGTCGAAATTTTGAAAGAGCATACGGGCTAGATAGACTCAGGAGCTTCTGGTAATTCTTTATGTGCTAACTAATACCAATCTCTACTTGTTTCTTTCTTTCAATAGGTTATAATTTCATTCCTCCTTAGCATGCTTTACATCGTTTTGTATGCTGTAGAGGCAAGTTAGTAAGTACTGGGATTCTTTCCCCATTGTTTGGTTTTGTTTAACCATTTTTTGATGTTATAAATATTCGACGAGGTTAAAAACCTTCCTCGTAAATTAATCGTTTTTATCATATAATTCCTACGTTTAGGAATTCAAATCATTCCCCGTGAAAATCTTTTGTTAACTCAAGGTACATCTACTTTAGAAATAAAAAAAAAATGGAATTGGGCCAGAAAGCATCAAGCAAATCTTTGTTTATTCTGCAAACATTTGTCTACCAGCACTATTTTATGAGTGCACTTGGACTTTTTTTTTTCTTCCAACAAAATTTTGTCAAGCCATACAAAGTTTTAAGGGTGCTGTTGTCCTGCCTCATAGCTGGATAATCTTTTTGTCGAGGGTCAAGACTGTCAGATTTTGTAGGGGTCAATCTTAATGAAATTAACCAATTTATGGCTTTGAAACTCAAATGCCTGCCAAAATAATTAATTTTGTGGGGGGATTGAGTTGTGAAGATGGAGAAATGAATATAGACTGGTACAACCATGAAGGATGAAAAAAAGTAAAATATATTTTAAAAGCAATAATATGCTAAGGCAACATTTTTTATCTTGAATTAAAGGTTATGTGTAAACATATGCCTTCTAAGAGAGAGTGTTTAATTACAACCTGATGGATACTTAATGGATATCAAACACTTTCATCTGTGTTTTTAAAGGAATTAAGGCAATGAAGTAGACTTGTGCAAATTTTGTCAACTTATTGTGACGTATGTTATTTTAGAGAATGTTGAGCATAGCACTTTTGTGAATATACATCACTCTGGTAAATTCTGTTTAATCCATTTTATTGATTTTCATTGTTTTCTTTTTCAGCCCCATTGAACATTGTCTGGACATGAAAACACAGAAGCTCTGGATATTTGATATTGCTTTCAATCTTTTCTTTTTGCTTCATTTCCTTCTTCGGGTAAGGGTACATGGCAAAAGATAAATAATTATATTTTTGTTTTATTTTAAAGTATGCCTGTCATTCTTAGGTTAATGATACAAATAATTATAGCAATTCTTGACTTTCATGAAAAGTTGTTTTAATTCATTTTGGTGTAATACACATTTTGGTGTACATCATCACTGAGTATATCTTAAACAGTTGTGCCAAATTTTGGCAAACCCCATGGAAAATTAAATAAGAATAGCAAGTAAAAAATTGATACTCAGCAATGCTTAACACAACAAATTGCGCAGTTAATTTCCAACTCCTCTAAAATGTCATCCCTGTTTTTCATTTGAAACAACACCCACAAGTGATTATATAGAACTGGTACAAAAATTAGTAATCAACTGTCTAAATAATGGTATCATTAAGATATCACATTGCTTTGCATTATTTTGTACCCTACTTAGTACAGTTAGAAATGTAAAATACAGATGAATTAAATTTTTTTGAGGTAGCTGCTTTTATATCCTCTTTGGCACCTAAATCAAAGGAAAACAGAAAATGAAACTGATTGCTTAATTGTATGTACAAATCATGGAAGTTCAAATGAAAATGAATCATTTTTGTTTGTCTCAATCTTCAACATTTTATTCATTCTTAGCTGTTTACTAATCTGAAACATTGTTCAAATAAGTTCCTTGCAGCTAATGACAAGCTCATGTTTTGGGTGGAGACTCTATCTTTGGTGGACTTCTTTACTATTCCTCAAGTATTTGTCTCTGTTGTTCTTCAACAGAACTGGCTGGGTAAGAGTTCCAATTCTTTTATACCCTTGGTAAGAATAGAAAGGCAGACAGACAAGTATCAAACATACAAGTAGGTAAACAGACAAGTCATACAGATACAAGACACATTTTACAACTAACAGACAGCCAGAGATAGATACTGTAGACACCCGTTGATAAATGTTGATAGGCTCACACACATTGTAGAGGGTCCCCTATACTATGTGGAATGTGATTTTGTTTTCATCGTTGATTGTCATTTTTTCTGTTTTTTTTTTTTTTTTAGATTGTTTTTGTTTGGCAAAATTAATAAATAAATGAACGAAAGAGACCACAAATGGTGTGAAAATGTTGTAAAGCAAAAAAGTGGCTGGCAGATGAGGCACAGCCAAGCATGTCACTGATGTAACATTTTAATTGCTGGCAAAATTAATAAATAAATGAACAGGGCCAAGTCACATTCATTTGTGAAGATTTTTAATCTACTTGTATGTGTCAATATAATTTAAGCTTTATTTTTTTGTCAACTGATTATCAGCATGATATCTCACTTAAAATTTACATGTAATTTTTTTCAGGATTAAGGTTTCTCCGTGCAATGCAGTTTATTAGGCTAGCAGATATTCTTCAATTCGTGGGAATTATTAACTCCAGGTTTGTCGTGTGTCTAAAATTAAGGCAATTTTGTTTGGGATATATTCCAGATTCTCTGTACACAATTTCTGATAACCATGTTCAGACTCGCTTCCATATTTTATAAGTTCTGCTTAATACACACTTGTGTGATTGAAAATGATACTTTTGATCAAAGATATTAATAACTATAATCAAAATAAATGGTTTAATTGTTCTTGGTTTTTTATTTTTAGTGGGGTCATTACACTTACAGTCATGATTGGCAACTTGTTCGCCCTCATTTTTACATCTGCAGGGATTCTTCATCTGGTAAGTCAAGGAAAAAAAAACTGAGTACAAGGGTTGCAAGAAAAGTTGGTGATCGTGGACAGCTTTCTATTGCAGCCTGTAACACCTCTAACTGCTGTTGTGTTTGTTTGGCCTGCAAGAAGGCTCTTGTCGCTTTCTTGTTATGGCCCCCTTATCTAGTCACAGCCTGTACCTACTGTGCCATCAACAGCCTTTTTTGAAATCCCTGTTAGTGTATAATCAAGCCCTATGACCATGCTGGGATAGTAGGAGGCAATGAAGAAATTTAGAGAGAAATATTTGCAGAAGTCAAGCCCTTGAATTCCACAACTTGGGCAGCTATATTCATTTGAAGATTTTTATACCCTTAAACCCTCAAATAGTTTGCTGACTGTAATGTAACTTTATTACACAACTTGGGAAGTCAGAGGGCCAATAACTAAAATCAACCAATCAAAATGCTCGGTCTTTTTTGTACGGACCTCGCAGCGCTCAGTCTGTACTGTCAAGACCTCGGGCCGATATTCTCCCAGTATGGCCCTCGCGGTTGGTTAATAAGATATATTTATGTGATGTGCATGATATTTGACAGAGATTAATGACAAATGTGAAATTTTTAAATTTTAATTTGATATCAGGTGGAAAATTCAGGAGATCCTTGGAGTTTCAGAAATGGTCAAAGCTTAAACTTTTTTGATTGTCTTTACTTTTTAGTGGTATGTTCTACACAATATTTTGTAATGTAGCACTACAGTTATGTGGCTTATTTTAATTTGAGATTGTTATTTTGTTGGGGTCTCACTCTTGATATGGAAGAAGTTATCTGATACATGCCATTTGGTATCCTACGGTGTGATCTATCTGCTTTTTTATTGAAACATAGCTGGTCAATAGGAAATTATTGCTAAGTTGAAATTGTTATTTATTTTGAGGTTCAGGAGATGGAGACAATTAGATGAAACTTTTAATTTTTTATTAATTGATGATAGATTAAAAAAGGTCTCATGGGAATAATTATTTCTGACTTGCTGGTACCATTTTTAATTGACAGGTTACAATGAGTACAGTGGGATTTGGTGACATATCTGCCATAACATATTTTGGAAGAATTTTTATGATCATTTTCATTTCCATTGGCCTGGTAAGTGAAGTGTTAGGTTCATCATGGTAAAGTTATTATAAATCAAATAAACTGATTTTTTAAGGTTTGAGGGTACAAAATTGGTTTTCCAGACTACTTAGAGGGTATCAACCACCAGGTTTTCTGTTACAAAAGTGACAATGTTGGGAATTAAGTTTTTGGGGACTTTTGAGAGAAGAAGAGAGTAAAAAAAGAAAGATTAAAATAATTTGTTCCCTGAAGAAGTTAAATCAAAGGAAAATAGTGCAATTAACCCTCTGATCCCCAAGAGAGAATATCATTTAATTGCGGCTCCTTACACAAGGTTCCTGTGCTCCTTGAAAGTCCTTGTAAGTCATTGAAAGTCTTTAAATTTAATTTTTTGTTTTCAAGGACTTGAAAACCCTTGAATTTAGACTCAGGTCCTTGAAAATTTCTGAGAAGTCCTTGGAAATAAGCACCTGTTGTAGATGAATCAAAGTCTAAGTTTTCTTTTGGTTTTGGTGTTGAAAGTGTAAATTTCTAGCACAAAATTAATTGGAAAAATTAGTTTTCCTTTCAAATCCCATGTCTGATTATGATGTTTGACATGCGATTTTTTGAAAATGCATTGTCAAAATAACCTTGGTTACGTAGCATGTGATCACTCTGATGTGCATGCTTGAAGTCACACTCATTGGACTTTGTGGCTGCTCCTATTTAATGCAACTAAAATTATTAAAGGTCCTTGAATTTGAGAGCTAAGGTCCTTGAAAACAACCCAAAAAGTCCTTGGAAGTCCTTGAATTGGGTTCCGGAAAAAGTGTAGGAACCCAGCTTACAATATCACACCTGAATCAGGCATTAAGGTTATGAGAATAAAGGAAATGATCAGCAACCAAAGAAGCTCTTGACTGTTAAAAAAAATTATCTCAGTCAGCACCTTACAAAATGTAGGGTGTAAATTAAGTGTTCATAGATGATGTGACATTCAGTTGATAAAATATTTTGTCAAGAAACACCTTTGGTTACTTAGATGTATGTGATATAATGAAATGAATGATCTCACCTTTTGATTGTGTTTTTGTGTAGGGTATGTTTGCCACCTATATCCCAGCAATCCTGGAATATTTGGGTAGCCACACAGTTTATCATGGCTCATACAAACTCTCTGAAGGAAGAAGGTAAGGCAGAAGCATTTTTATCACTAACAGTAACTGATTTAGAAATGACCCACAAGTAGCATCAAAATTTGTTAACACATTATGTAGGAAGAATTGTAAGAGTTCTATATATATATCTTTTGGTTTCTGTTTGGATTGCAACCATTTTCCATGATTGACAAGGTGAAATTGTAATTGGTGATTCATTGGGATATAAAGTACAACAAAAAATTAATATCTATTTTAAATGAATTTATCTTTTTGTTCTCAACAGATTGATTTTATAAGCCTTGATGAATACTCATAATTTCTTTTACATTCAATGTCTCTTCTTTCCTGATTTTTTCCAGACATATCATTCTTTGTGGATACATCACCAAGGGGAGTGTAGAAACATTGTTGCGGGATTTCCTGCATAAAGATCGCTCAAATGTTGCCGTAAATGTGGTCATCATGGGAAAGTGAGTATTATATTTATTTTCAAATTGCCAAAAGGTTCTGTTTTGCTATGCATCTTTTTAGAAAGAGACCACAAATGGTGTGAAAATGTTGTAAAGCAAAAAAGTGGCTGGCAGATGAGGCACAGCCAAGCGTGTCACTGATGTAGCATTTTAATTGCATATATAAACTTCATATTCAGAAGTCATCCTCTAATTAATCTGTGGTTTAATTGTCCTTATTTAGCTTTTTGCCAGATGCAGAAATGCAGTCCTTGGTCAAGAAACATTTTGTTCATGTATCTTACTTCAAGGGCACAGTTCTGAGTGCAGAGGACTGTAAAAGAGTTAAGGTCTGTTAATACAATGTCTAAGTTAAAAGTTTATAATTCTCTTTCATGACCAATCATAAAATGGATGTGAAGTGTAGTAACTGTTGAAGTTACAAAAAGAATATTTGAACTGTAGTTGTAAACAGGGTTCATATGCATCTTGAAAACCCTTGAAAACCCTTGAATTTCAGGAGGCCGATTTCAAAGCCTTGAAAGTACTTGAATTTCGTTTTGGGTGATGCTTGAAAGTCCTTGATTTTTTATTGAACAACATCGAAAAATATCTGCTTTTGTTCTGCACCATTGGTAAACCCAAAACATAGATGTGAACAGAAACATTTCTCTTGGTTTTGAGGTAAAATTGTCATTACAAAAAGTCCTTGAAATTTCTAAGTAGGGTCCTGGAAAGCCCTTGAAAAGTCCTTGAATCTTTGGCCTGAAAAAGTGTACAAACCCTGTGTAAACTAATAAAGAATGGTTTGCATTGCATTTTAGATGAAAGTGGCTGATTCCTGTATTGTACTGTGTAACAGAGAGTGTATTAATCCCAGTGAAGAAGATTCAGAGAATATCATGAGGTACTTTAATTTTATAATGTGTAAGAGGGGCTACAAACTTTTAACAAGTCTTTAAACTTTTTCTTCATGAAGAATTGGTTCACCTGTTATCAAAATATATACCTTCTCTGAAAAAGTGATTCCTTTCTGGTCAGCAACAATTTTGGATGAAAATTAGTAGAGCAGAATGTGAGAAAATGTTTTAATTTTTTTATTCTGCTCGCATAATGGGACTATATCTTTAATTTTAGAGTTGTAGCTGTGAAGAATTACTACCCAGGAATAAGAGTCATCATCCAACTGCTACAGTATCAGAACAAGGTACATGTTAAGCCCTTAACTCCCTTAGCATATAATTATAGGCAAGTTCTCTATGCTATAGTTTGTATGTTTTCCAAGGTGCTGACTGGGAGGAGAATTTGCCTGATGATCGAGAGTTTTAATCTTGAGTTTGTGATCATTTCCTATATTCTCCTTGACCTAAATTTTGATTCATGAGGGATGCTGTTGGGAAAAATGATATGCTTATCACTCTTAAGAGGTAAAAGGTAACAAATATTTAGAATGTTAATGATATTAGTAATTTAAATTAATATTTATCAATAAACAGACTTGTTTTAAGATTCAGGGGTTGAAAACTCGTTTATGTTGTTTAATTATAATATTGAATTGAAATGAGTTACCAGACTGAATGAATAAAGGATTCCATACGTTATCATGAAAACGACGTCAAAATCATGGGTGTAACCGTTTCAAAAATTGTTTGTTCTTGGGAGTTTTATTTCTAAAGTGGTCTTTGAAGTGAAGTTTTATGGAAACTCATCATGTTGGATTGTTGCATATTCAAAAAAACATTAATAATGTAATAACAATAACAACTTACAACAAAAAACCACAAATTCCATTTTTTTGTAGTCTTACCTACTGAATATCCCATCTTGGAATCCCAAACGTGGAGATGATGTTGTTTGCATCAGTGAGGTAGCTGTACATGTATTTTCAACTTAGAATTTTTCACTTGACTGTCTTGTTACTGTATTATATTAATTTTTGATGAAACATTCAGATGGTGGATTTGTCATTATCCGACTGAGTTTTTCTTCTTTTTTTTTTAATCAGCTCAAGCTAGGATTTATTGCCCAAAGCTGTTTGTCACCAGGATTTTCAACCCTACTGGCAAATGTTTTCTCAATGCGATCTCATGAAGCAGTAAGTGAAAGACTCTTAAAATTGTGAGTGAAAATAAAAAATCAAGCACCTCCTACCTATAAAACCACTATAGGCAATGATAGGCAGTTCTTCAGAAACTGGGGGGGTCCAATGGGAGTGGTTTTGCACAGTGTTCATGTGATATTTATTATATTTTCACGCAATATGTGAAATATTTAAATTTATTATCCAACTACACCTAGACGAGTACGAATAACGCCATAGACGAGTACAAATATCACGCGGTATTTGTACTCGTCTATTGTAGTACCGGTTAAACAGGTTTTGTCGCATCGCGCAAGCGAAGAATTGGATTGAAGTTAGAAAAAAAAAAATGGTGGACAATTTGAATCATATTTCCGACGACGAAGAGTCAGAATGGCTGGCAAATATAGATCTAAGTTGATTTGATGAATCGAACGAAGAAAAAAAGCTTGACGACCAGAAAATTTCTTCATTTAATGAAGAAAATAGAAACAGCAACACAACAACGCGCCAATTCCGTTCCGCTTCGCAAACTTCTGTCACGCACTCCCTGAAACAATAGTTTGGCGTGTTTTATAATAAATAACTTATTAGACGTTTTGTTGTGTAGTATCGCTGAGTATTTTTACTCGTTATTTGTATTTTGACTCTCCTTACGGGCTCGTCAAAATACGGCACAACTCGCAAAAATACTCAGCGATACTACACAACAAGACGTCTAATAAGATATATGTATTTTTTCTTTGATGTATATTTTCAGTCAGATGCGACAGAGTCAGACGCATGGAAGAAGCATTACATTGAAGGTGCAAACCTTGAATTGTACACTGAAACGTTATCAAGTTCCTTCAAAGGGATGACCTTCCAACAAGTTGCTGAGTAAGTTCTACATTTCTTAACTGCAAATATGTGTCATGCTAATCGTCACAGGTGTCCAGAAGGCAAGGGAGAGAGGAAATCCTGTAGTATTCTTTGGCTAAATTTGAATGACATGAACCAGTTACGTTTTAGGCATGGAGAATGTTCTTATCTTACTTTTTGATGAAACATCTCAACGGGTCCGAATCTTTTATCTACGAATCTGATTGGTCAATCGCGCGCTCGTAATAGGCGGTCCACACCTTTTTTTTTAAAATACGAACCACGGTGTGGAATCTTTCCGCGCCATTTGCGGCAAAGCAAATAAAAGAAATCCAGGAGGAAAACTAAAAACTATTTATAGGTCTAGGTCAATGTGTATGGGAAAAATATTGTGTTCCTGGTGTTGAGTGCAGCCGTCGGACTTCGGCCTTGTGTTTCACGACTTTTGTCGAGGACCCCAGGCACAATTTTCCCCATAAAGACTTTCCGCGCGATAAATAAAGTAATTAGGCTTATTTTTTGGACAGGATTTGCTTTGGCAAGCTTGGCCTACTGCTCATTGCRATTGAAACTATTAAACCTGATGGAGAGAAAGTGTAAGTATCCATGCAACATCAAAGCCACTTTTTATTGAGAATTTCCTTAGACTTGATTATTAATTGGCCCCTCGGAATAATTATATTTCATTTCATTTTATTTCTTTTTTTTTTCTTTTTTTTTTTTTGCTCTCAAGATTCAATATCAATCCTTTGGATAAGACCATTGAGCAACGGACACGAGGATATTTCATTGCCGATTCTGCTTCTGAAGTCAAGAGGTATGTAAATAAATTCTTTTGGTTTTTTAGGTGATAATATTCGAATGAATTACAATTTCCCTCAACGATCGCATTCGTGTGGAAGAATTATTGCAAAAGACGAATTGGAATACACGCATTTGCGTGTAACTCACTGCACGAGTGTAATTTTTCTATTGCACATGCGTATCTACTGTACACGCACTGAAAGTGTGTGTACCACTTGTATTACACACGCTGACAATGTTGTCAACAGTTAGCGTAAGTATATTAGAGTATCCCAAGTTAAACTTTAAGGGTCGTCTTCAAGAAAAACGTATTTGTACGAATAACTTTTCTTTTCATCTCAGATAGTTTCCAAGAAACCGTGACCTTCGCGTTTTCTTCCTGCTAAAGTGAGTTTCATAACCGATAAGTTACTTTTGATCTTTTTCCAGGGCTTTTCATTACTGTGTGAATTGTCATGCTGATGTGAAACAGCCAGAGCTAATAAAAGAGTGTGACTGCTCCAAAGGTACAAAAATAAACAGGGTTAACACAGCGTTCTGCCCCTAAAAGCTTAAAATATTCACCCTGTCCTTAAAAACTTTATGGAGTACTTGATTGTCTTTGTGGTATTGATTTAAATGGTGTTTGTAAAGGCAAAAACTAATCGAGTAGATTTGATTCCTTGGGTCGTTGAACTTCTTTGGGATAATCAAAGGAGCTACTTGTACACCACGGCTCGCCAACTTCAGACAATTGAACTCTAGTTTTCCAAGGTTGTCTTTTGCAATCCACGAAAGTCTTGCCCATCCATGGCCATCGCGTTTCCTTTTTGTTTTACACTTTTTCCTTTCGTATTTGTCGAATGAGCCGAACTACTATTTCAAAATAAGAAATAAAGTTGTACAAGAAGCTCCTTGGACTATGGAAAGTTTGTTCAGATTTCACCAATGGTAAGTTATGGTCAGGAAGTGAAATTGCCACTTTTTGAAATGACTGATGATGAAAGCACTCTTGACACAGCCACAAATCTTTCACTCATAAGAACGACCAATTTGTAACTTCTCCAAGCTTTCAAACAGATAATTACTCTCCATTTTGTAAGCTGAAGCTGAGAACTATACAGCAAAGTTAAATATGTCTCTTTAAAGAGCTGCTTAAGCCTGGGCCAACCTTCGCTTACGGTGATGTGAATCTGAGTACAGTCTGTTTATAGATCTTTGCACTACTATACTAACCATTCGTTATACTTCTTCTAACTAAAGGAACCCTCACTTTCCGTGGACTAGGCAAAGCTGTTCTCATCACTGCAACTGCCGCGAGTAGTTAGTATCTATGTGTTAACTTTAAACACTCTCTTATATTAAACACTGTTTGATAAGTTCCATTCTTAAATGTCAGATCGACTGTTTTCTGCTACTGTTGTTCCATAAGAAGCCCTTTTTCATCCTGATTTTAAATTTCTTTTAAAGCACGTTCTTTCATGTATGGAGCTCGCCTCCAGCCTATCTTTTTGGATTCTTCGTACGCTTAACTGTCCTTAATGGGATGTCGTGTAATTGGTGCAAGCAACTGTTGCCCCTTTTTAATTTTTCCAGCTTCTCGTAAGTTATTAGCTTATGAAGCAAGGACACAAAAGTTTCTGCTTTCTTGTTGTTGTATCAGACCTAGAGTTCAGAGGGAGAGCTCACGGGCTAACAATTGTAGGCAAAGCTTGTTCTACACTAGAATCTGCTCTTCATAGAAGGATCTTTATTTAGTGACTGTGCAGTTGCCATTCCTTTTCTTACACAAAAAGCATCACAAGTTTGTGCATTCGCTTAGTGTTGTCTTTGTATTGTGGTGATTTCCAGTCTACATCAATCGCCGTTTCTTCAGTGCTACACCTTTACCTAATTTTCGCTTTTCCTCTGCCAAACCACTGTATTCAATGTACAGTCTCTTAATATGGTTCCAGTTCCGTATGTCTCTGGCAACACCAGGTTCATTATGTATGGGGATTTAAAATGTGCCCATCAAACACGCCCATATGATACATATAAAAAGTATCAAGGTAAATGGTGTGATGACATTTTATGCCCCCATACATAATTTTCTGACCACACATCATATTTTATGTGTCACTCCACTTCTGATTACGCTAAAACACTACACCAACACAGCCGAGCATTTTAGAAGAGAACTGTAGATTACAATTTCTCTGCCTACACCAGACTCGAATCAAATGAAAAATAGGAATTTATGGAATAGGATAACTGAGCATTGATTCATAAATATCTCTCTTCAGTGGACCATATTAACCTTGTCCCTAGGGGTTTCTCGGTCAGTTTTGGAGATGAAGGCTGGTAGAGAAAAAGCACGCAGGGCACCAAGGCTCTGCCCGATAGGTTATTTTTTGCACTGGTGATATTCAAGAAAAATTTCAATTATTATTGGTTCGAATCGCTAATAACGGAGATTCCAGTTGGTTGGCCTTTCTTTGATCCTAAGCGTTACCAGACCGGGCGCCATCTTGGAAAAAGCAGACCGAGGAATTCCTGGGAAAACTGGGTCGAACTCGCTGGTGGGATCAGCCTTGCCACATGTGGATCTAATAGGTAGCTTAGCTAACCAATTAGTCCACGGTAGCTCAGTGATGTTTACATACTGTCTTTCATTAGCATTTTTAAAGTCAAAAGTAAGTTTCAATGAGACCTGTATCCACTGTTAAAGTTACGGATAAAAATCTAAGCTTTCTCGGGGTCTGAGTTTCGAATCCACGTGGGCGACTCGGAGTTTTTTCTTTATACATCGCAAGCGAATAACGCCGGACCTATTTGTTTACCACTGATAGTTATTCCTAACCACATTGTGTAGCTAACTGTTTTTTTTACGATAGTCTCTTGGAGATCCTTGTCCTTTCCTAGACTGAGTGTTTTGGACACACTGCTTACTTGGCTTGTTCTCATTGTTCTGCATCTGTTATTGCATAATCTAAGCTTTGCACTCTTACTGGTATAACTTATATCTACTAATCTGACCACATGCACCTGCACTTTAGTTGGCTGTGGAGACCAGTTTCAAGCGCTTCTAAGGAGTCATTTGAGCCTAGTTGTTCATCGACTTTGAGGATTACATTGTCAGTGCTCCAATTTTTAGAGATTCTCCCTTGATTTGTAACCTCAGAATTGACTAAATCAAGGAAGAATTTGAAAAAAGCTAAGAGGCACGTTTGCCTAATCTGGATCAAATTGTTTAGAAGGGTTACAGACATTCCGAGGGTATATTTATGACTGGAACCGAATAAAGATCTCGGACTCGATCGAGTAGTTTGATCGTCCGAGGAGGTAGTATTCGGTGGCTGGAAAAGAGTGTCATTGGTAGCCAGAAAGGAATGTTATTGGTAGCTGGAAAAATAGTGTTAATGGTAGTGACTAACGTTTTGATGAGTTAATCATTGACGACTGTTAATCCTGGGTTCATCCCAGTTACTGTAAGGATCCCGGATGTTTGTGACATGAATTGCGACATTTCTAGATTTGCCATTGGATGGAATGTACAGACGGCGTGGAAACATTGAGTGTTGAGTTTTGTTTTTCACGGTGAATTCCTTTGATTTTGTTTATTTAAGAAAACGAGACAGATGTTCAGTTAACTGGTTTAGTCAACCATGCTGTTGATCATGACAAAGCCTACTTGTGTTTTGCACCAGAAGGCAAACAAAGCAATGGCAAACCACCAGGCAAGTTTAAAGTGTGATTTTGATATTTTGTCTCATTCCTTTTAATGGCATTGCGCATCTTTTGTGCGCATGTTTTCACGAGTGATAGCACTGTGTCATGAATAAAAAATACAACAAGAAAATAGCGGCTTTTTTTGTGTTGCTGTATCTAACTGAAGAGATAAATGATCTTTATCTCGGAAACGGATTCGGTGATCTATGATCTTTTTGCTATAACCTTCTTAGTCTGATGAGGATTCTGCAGCAATTTTCAGCGAGGAAAAATACTCCTTAAGGTCATTTTAGGCGAATGACCTAAGAACCAAGACTGGTACCTGCAAAATTCCTGGCTTGACTGCTGCTTCTGGCGTGGTTATGGATAAGACTGGTTGTTCGTTTGTTTGTTTGTTTTTTTGTTTTGTCAACCAAATAGGAGTTATTGTGCCTAGTGAATCACCATGGTTATTAAGGATGAGGGACTACACTTTAAATGGCGAGGGGCTGTCAGAAAGGTCCCAGAATGAATCTCTGAGGGATTCGAAAGAATCGTAAATTTAAGTGACTCGCTTTTGAGAGTTTCATTAGGGGTTTGAAGTCTCGTGTTGTTTTGAAATACCAATAGGTTATTTTCTTTGCACTCTGAAGTGGAAATTACTTTATTTTACCTGTTTCATAGTGCCCTTGGATTCGTGAAGCAATTTATGCACTTGCAATAAAAAAGAAATCGAGTAAAGTCACCTGCACATTAAAAACAGTAAATTAGTCTTTATAACATCACGAATATATTTTCACAAAGGCATTGTGTACAAATAGTAGGAATAGGAGTTGGTAAAGTAGATGTTTTTTATATTTTCCTC